CCCCCCCCCCCCCCACCCCCCCCCACGTTTTCTGGCTGTAAGGGAGAAAGGAAGAGGGTTTTCACCCTCTCCGCCTTCGGCAACCATCCAACACGCCCCCCAAGGTCGGCGGATATATGTAATTCAACTACCGCAGGCTCACTATGAAACCTCCTTGCGTTCGAATCCTAGCGTCTATTTCACTACTTCCAGGCCCAAACATTGCGCCCGAAGCCAACAGCCCGATCCGCCCCGCGCTTTCGGGGGACTACAATCCTAAACCCTAAACCCTAAATAGTAGTTTCCATTTTCTTTTCCATTATCCCAATAGAACCCCTATAGAACCCTATATAATCCCTATATAACCCCCATACTCTATCTACTTACGCCCGCGCCAGGGAGTTCTACGAGAACGCTGGGGATCCGCAGGGAGCTCCCGAGCCTGAAGAGACGGATCCTTTCCAGGAGCGGCTTGAGTGTTTAGGGTTCAGGGTTGGGTTTAGGGTTTAGGGTTTAGGGTCTTGAGTGCTCACAACCCCTACCCCCCCCATTCCGTGCAGATCCTAAATCCTAAATACGGTAGTAGTCTCGAGTTTTTGTTCATTATCCCCACGTAACCCCAGGATGACCCAGATATTATTCCAAAGGCTACCTAAATCCCCTATATACGTTGGTAGGGTCAAGTAGACAAATCGGTTTTGCAAGGCAAGGGCAAGAGGTTCCGCAGGGTCTATTTCCTCAGTGTTTTGTGAAGGTTTTGTAGGTCTTGCACACGGCTGTCCGCGTGTCGTAGCAGTTCCTCTAGGGGGTTCAGGTACACCTTCTGGGGTTACATCTTGGTTTCTCGTACAAGGCCCATACGCTTCAAGGTTCAGGGTTCTCCTTTTAAATTACAGTGCTGAAAGTCATCGCAACCTCCTCGTCCTGAATCCCAGTGTGCCGGCACGCGGGAAGCAGCCTGAGTGAATGCTCCAACGCATGCCTCGCCTCATTCCTAAGTGCCAGGTTTGTGCCGTTCAGGTCTACGTAACAGCATGCTTTGCCTGCTAGGTTAATTAGTATTTATAACATAGTAACAAGAATAGTTGTAAATCCTGAGCTGGTTGGCGCTTCGGGATAGTGTCTAACTTTCCTGATATTTGCGGCAAGTGAACAAGCTATGCGTGAGCAATTCATGCTGGGGGCTTTACAGTACCACCCCGAACCCAAACCTAAACTCTAATGTGGACCCGTGATTAATAGCCCCCTCCTTTTTAGGGCCCTTGATATTAGGATCCCTTTTATAATCCCTGTTAGGGGCATCCCTAAACCGTCAGGCATATTCTCCACCCAAGGGTCCATGGACCCAATAATCACAGACTTGGGAGTTTGGTACTAGTACTTGTATTACAGGTTCTGGGAGGGGTAGAGTGTTTACAGAATCTAAAGGGACTCCTACTGGGAACCCCAAACAGGGAACCCCAAGAATATAGTAGGAATATAATAGGAATATACCTACCAGGGCCCCCTTATATTCTATTATATTCCTACTATATTCTTGGGGTTCCCAGTTTGGGGTTCGCAGTAGAGTCCCTTTAGAATGGGGTCTCAGAGCTTGGAGGCCTTGTTTTGGATGTTTTTTTTTTTTGGGTTGTCTTGGGGCCACATAACCCGGGGTTTCCAAAAGTTGGGCTCTCACTTTCTAGAGGTGTGTATAGTACTGTTGTACATACTGTATTATGGGGCATATCGAAGGGACCTTAACTTGCATAGCTACCGTATAATAACCTATTCACCAACCCCAGACACCACAACCGCAAGCCGAAAAGAACCCATCCTTAGAACTTGCTACTATCTACTTATAAGCCCGATATGAGCTATAGTCTAAACTCCTTAAAGGGGAGTTATATAGGGTATTTAATATAGGGGTACTAAGGAGGATGCTAGGAGTTTGTTAGACTACAGCTCATATACTTTTAGTATGATGAACCCTAAACACCAAACCCCAATCCAAGAATTTCGGGCCCTACAGGGCCTTGTGGCCCCCAACAGGAGACTCGCGAAGCCATGCGCCTCGGCAGAGAGGTTTAGGGTTTGGTTGAGGTTGCGGATTTAGGGGTTTAGGGTGCAGGATTTAGGGTTTTTTAGGGCTCAGGTTTAAGGAGGATTCAGGGTTTAGAGTTTAGGTTTAAGGAGGATTCAGGGTTTAGGGTTTAGGATTTAGGGCTCAGGGCCTACGGTTGGTTGCAAGAGTGCTTCAAGTAGATAGAATATGGGGTAGACGGGGATCTTGTTCTGAACATGGGGAAGTCCATGTTCTATCTACTTAAGGGGGGCTAGTCACTCTAGTAAAGTGATGGTAGTTCCAAAAGTAACAGTCATGGTAATAGTAAGATGAACAGTAAAACTAGTAGTGGGGGCAGTAGTGGCTCAGGGGTTCAGAGGTTCTCCAAGATGGATCCTGTTTTTCTGTGGGCCAGATCTCTTCGATGAATAAACAGCAATTTTCTAGGTGGTTATCTGGGGACTCTGATGGGGGTTCCACGGGCGATATTAGGAGTTTGGACAATAGCTCACATGTGTGGGAGCAGAAGGTCCCTGCCTTCGTGTGTGTGGAGGGTCGGTAGGACTTAGGAAGTGTACCTATAACCCCTAGGCGCTAGGATCCATGTAATCAGTTGTCCCCAAGCCCTAAACCCTAAACCCGAGCCCTAAACCCTACACCCTAAACCCCAAACCCTAAAGCCAAGCCCTAAACCCTTGGCCTCCTGCTTTCCAAGGAAGAACCACGCGCCTGTCCAGCCCCGGACCTATGAGAAGGTCTACAGAGAGGCAGGACGAAGGAACTACACTTGGGCCTTTTAGGGGGCCCTTATGGGTACATATAGGACAATATAGTAGGTATAAAGGGATCCCAAAGGTTAAGGGCCCATACTCGGGGCCCACGGTTTCAACCTTAGAGTAATTCAGGGCCCTAAGACCTAACTTATTGCAATGTGCCTAGTCTCAGGTCATGCTTGGCGGTGGGCATATCAATGCCGACATGCAGCAGTTCCTGGACAATGACAAGAAGGCAAAGTTCATCATAGGGGAGTGTGGACGGGTGTATAGGTCTAAGACTGCATTAAGGGTCAAATCATACAGAGGCCTCGAGAATTCGAAATACATTCTGCTTTGATTGTATAACTTCAGTTTTGCACATGCCGCCATATTTCATTTTACTTACATAGGCCCCTACGTTAGGCCTTGTGGTTCCTGGGATATGTGTTACATACACATATAAGTCTGTATATATATATATATATCATGTACAGCGCTCACATAAGGTAAATCCCCCTGTCATTGTCCTAAGCCTAATCCAGGCGTTGATCCTAAGCCTTGTCCCTAAACCTTAAACCTTTATAACCCCAACCCCTAAACCCTAAAACCCAATGCCTGGAGCCCTTGATCCTCCCCCACAGAGTCAAAGTCCGGTGGCTTTTGGAACTGACGGCAGGAATATGTCCATTTTCACAGCTCTTTGGGGGGTGTTTGTGTCTATATAAATGCTTGTCTAATACATGTTTCTTTGGCATATAGTATACTGGTAGTTTCCCTAAATAGGGGGACCCAATATAGACCCCAAAATATACTATAGTCCTCATTATAAGGGACCCCCAACAAGGTACCCATAATTTTGGGAAACGGGAGTCATTCGCGGCTAATGCTTCGCATGTGCTGTTTTCGTGCATGAAAAAAGGGAGACTGGCCAAAGTCTTGACATGTGCTGTACTCATTGGGGTTATATTACACTTATCATGGGGACAATGGAAAATGAAATGGAAACTACTATTTAAGGTTTAGGGCTTAGGGTTTATTGAGGTTCAGAGTGGTTGAAGTCTATTGAAAACGGCAGTAGGAGTTATGCCCTAAACCCTAAAACCTAAACCGCGTTTTCAGGATAGGTGTCCCCACAGCTGACCTGAAGCTAAGCCTAAGTTTTAGGCTTCAGGGTTCTAAACTCAGCACCGTTATTTGCACAAAACACGACCCACAGCCTTTCGTTGGACACCCTGACCGCACCCGCTGACTGAAATCATTTCCCTATAACCCTTACCAAGCTATAGTATTTATTTCAACACCTTATCCCAATCGACCAGGCCCCCAAGTTTCCATTTCATTTTCCATTTTCTTTTCCATTTGATTCTCCATTATAGTAGGTACCCATAGTTTTGGGAAACCACTATATAGCCTTGGGAACCAGGCCTCCACATTGACTCCTGTCCCCTCTCTGTGTGGAGGTACTCCGCTTCTTTGCGGTGTTAGACGACGCAGGGCCCTTGGCTACCTCCACAAGCCTGCTTTTTTTGAAGCCCCGCGGCTGGCGATTGCGCCATGGCTTCTTCCTTGTTTTGTGGCAAACTGAGGGCAGAGCTCCTCCAAAGTGTGTCCAGATTATAAAATGATCTGCTTTCAAGGTCCTCGACAAGGGAAATCATACTTCATGATTCCGAAGCCGTGTGATTTCAGAAACTTCCCTACTTGCTGAAGGTCGTCACGCCTCAGTTCGAGCGGCGGCTGCATGCTTAGCCCACCACTCCTGGGGATTGATGGGTAGGGTTCAGTCTGAGGCGAGACGGTCTTGCTACATTCCCTTATTGGGTTGAGGGTGTAGGGCTTAAACCTAAATAATAGTGTCCATTCTCTTTTCCATTATCCCCGCAGAATCCAAGCCCTATATTGGCGTATAGCCCCTTATTCCCTAGTAATCCTAGTATCTTGTGTTTTGCAGGCTTCAGTTTGCCTCTCTGAGAATGACTGTTGCTTTCATCCACTTATATCAAGCGTCTCCCAGAGCCTCATACAATGCCCTAATAAAGCCCTATCAAGTTTAGGGTTTGGGTTTAGGGTTTAAGGTTGGGATTGTTTGCGCTGTGTGTGGTGGAGGGGTAGCAAGGGAGCGGTGTAACTTGCCACTCCACAATGAGGCCGTTTACCATCATGTTCTTCCTGGCGGACGACATGATTGAAATCAGGGAGCAGTACCCGCTGAACTGTGGCAGGCTGTTGACTGGATAGCTAAATAAGTCCTAAACCCTAAAACCCCTACATAGCCCCAACATACTATAGTAGTTTCCATTGTCTTTTCCGTTATCCCAATACTATCCCAATATACGATAGGTTTTGGGTGGTTTAGTTTACGTGTCAGAGCTTTGAAATTCCATCAGGACCTAAATCCTGAAGCTTTGGTCTTGAAACCCAGACATCTGAGCCTCAAAGTAAGGGTCCTTATGAGTCCTTTTGCAGTGATCTTAAGAATCTCTTCATAGTTTTGGGTAGAAGAGGGCCCTGACACCCTCCCATCTCGCAGGGACAACTTCCCGATCTTCTTCCGCAAGGGGAAGATGCCGATGGGTGCTTACAAGGTTGAAGGACCTCAGGCGCAGGCCCGGAAGAAGAATGAGTGCTCAAGCTGCACAGATACCCAATACTGGAGTACTACACCTTAATATTTTTTTGGTTCCTGGGTTCTTAGTATAACAAATTATACCTAAAAAGTCTTTTTTCTGGGGTGTACTCCGAACTAGGGGATAGCCGCCGTGGCTCCATATGTAGAAGAGTAAGCAACATGAGCAACAATCTTAACACACATGAACAACAAGCATGTACAGAACCTAAACCCTAAACCCTTAGGGCAAATTTAGTACTCGAGCTCTCTCTGATTTGGATTCTCAGTTTTGACAGGACTAGACAGACGCGAGCTCACCAAACATGAGCGATAATCTAAACTCCTTCAAGGGGGTTATAGAAGGGATGAGCTAGGGGACTACTATGATAGGGGTTATTGTGGGGGATACTAGGTTTGGACTATGGCGCAGATAATTCTTTTCTTCACGTGAGATACTGTCAATATTTGCCTTACTAGGGGACCCTTTACAGTGGACATAGGAGTCCCTCTTCTTGCCTAGTATAATCCCAAATATAGTCCCTAATAAGGAACCCATGTCCATTAAATTACGTAGGAAGTATTCATCCCTATACTCCCGTACATATCCCGAGTTTCCATGTCATTTTCCATTGTCCATTTGATTATCCAGTATGGTAGCTTGTCTTAAACTATGTAGGAAAATTGACTGTAGCTCATGTAGTCCGCCTGTCCCTTGCAAGTCCGTGCCTATGGCCTTCGTGGTGACATGTTGTCCATAGAGTTGCGAAAGAGCCTGAAGAGTTGTCTCCACAGCCATGCCTTGTAGCATGCGGTGGCTTCAAATAACGGGGAGTTTCTCCACACAATCCCTGCAGAATCCTGAGTAGGCACCCCAGAACCAGAACCCCAGTGGCCTCCATCTGAGCCCAGATGCATTCCTCCCCTTCATCTCTGCTCTCTCCGCTTCTGAACATGTACAGGGCCTTTTCTGGCCATCCAGACTACTGCTAAATACATGTTTCACTGGTACCATTACTATTACTAATATCATTAGTGGTATTACTACTATTATGATTGTTAGTATTATCATTCTTATTATCCATTACTGATATTATTAGTCGTGCTTTTACTATCATCTTTATTGCTACCTGAACCCCAAAGGTATGTAGAATAATGGCCTGTTGGACCTATATTTAGGTGTTTTCGGCCATTATTCTACCTACTTTTGCGGTTTGGGTAGTATTTCTATTACTATTGTTATCCAGGTATGTTCATGGGCATGACTTCCGGGTGGGCATGACCGTGCCTGGGCTAAGCCTTCAGTTGGTCGCGATGACTGGATCCTTGAATTCAAGGACCCCTGTGTAGGGCTTAAGGCTTAGGGTTTAAGAATTTAGGGCTTAGGGTTTAGGGTTTAAGAATTTAGGGCTTAGGGTTTAGGGTTCAAAAGTTTAGGGTTTACGGCTTAAGTAAACTCAATCAGATAATGGGGTTTCCCAAAATTAGGGATACCTTTTTTGGGGTCCCTTATAACAAGGACCATAGTTTTTTTGGGTCCATATCCTTGGGGTCCCCCTATTTCTGGCAACTCACAAGTAAACCTCTTAGTGAGCCGATCTAACCTCTATTGCTGTGATTACAACCTTGTATGTAGGTTTATTGACGATGGTCTAAAGTGATGTCTGCCGCTCACATTCTCCCACCGTGGCACTAGGAGCAATGAGGGAAGTTCTGAATACTGGACCATTGCTGAAGACACATTTTGATACTTTCATTATGCTACCATCCCATAGGGAAAGCATGAAATGTATTTGCGCATAGCAGCCAAGCAAGGCACCAGAATGGCTTCAAAGTACGTAGCCCAATGTAGCCTCAAGTGAGGCAGATTTCCAAACCACAAAACCCTAAACCCTAAACCCTAGATTCCCTCCCTTCCTGGCAGCCACTGAGGTTCAGCTCTTGGGCACCTACTCCTTCTTCATCTACGATGCGGATGAGTTCAGGGCTTAGTCCAGCTACCTTAGATAGATTTCCTCCGCCAAGTTTAGGGCTACTGCTTAAGGTTTTCGGGGATAGACCGGAAGTTGAGGGTTTGGGTATGATTCAGATGTTACCCCAAGACAACATAGAGCCCCAAAACGGGCTCTACAAGGACTACCGACTACCTCCCTGTAGCTGATAGCTTTGGGGGTTGCCGCGGCGAGTGATGCTGGGTAGATTGGGGGATAATGGAAAAGGAAATGGAGGCCATTGTAGTATATTGGGGCTATATAGGGATAATGGAAAAGAAAATGGAAGCTGCTATAGTGAGTTATATCCCACATCTTAGGCATGGTGCAGGGTGACGGAAGTTCGGGTCTTCGTCGTCATGGTAATCCCTAACGGCCTGAACCCCTTGAGCCTAAAGCTTAACTAGCCTCAAAACCCAGTCCCTCAACCGCCCTAAGCCCTAAACCTTGAAACCTGAACCACAACCCCCAATGTCTAGTCCCTCCGCCCTGGTGGCACGAAGGCCCAGGCTCTAAGCCTAAAGGGCTTTACTTGTTTGGTAGCTTCCCGAAGAAACGAGACCCCAATATGGACCCCAAAATAATACACACCTTATTCTGGGGACCCCCAAAATTCTTCCCAATTTTTTGGAAACCCCGATTTATCATCCCAAAAGCCTGAAACCCTAAACCCTAAACCCTAAAACTAAGATTGAAGTTTTGGAGGGTTCTGGGGCAAATTCAGAGCTGAGGTTCACCCGCCGCCACTTCCAGAACGAGCTCGGTCTGGAGTCGAGCCGGGGAGGGGAACCATCTCGGATTAGGGGCTATAGGGTTTAGGGTTTAGGGTTTTAGGGTTTAGGGTATAGGGTTTAGGGTTTAGGGTTTGGGCTATAGGGTTTAGGGTTTAGGGTTTGGGCTATAGGGTTTAGGGTTTCGGGCTTGGGGTTTGAGGCGCGGCTCTGGTCGTATAGGGTTGGTCACCCATAGTTGACAGTTGATGGACGGCATCCTGAGTGACCCTACATGCCTAAGCTCCGGCAGGCTTGCATGTCTTGTCTCTGAGGGGAAGCAGCTCAGATAAGCAGAGCGTCATAAAGAAGGAGAACATACCCCTACTGCATCTTGAATATTAAAGTATCACAATCTGAAATACTGAAACCCTGAACCCTAAACCGGTGGTGAGTCCAAGCCTCAGCCTCAGACGTGATTATCGCGTGCCCTTCTTGCAGGCAGTTTCTCAATATTCATTGTTTGAAGTCCCCCTTTGAAGCCTCAGAGCCCTAGCATCTGTCATGTACCCAGCCCAACTATAGAGCAACAATGGAAGTTTATCAAGATCGTCCTACGCCGCTGGCTGCCGACCTTACGTGAAGAAGCCCTCATGTGGTAATGTTGCCTTTAAGCCGAATCCCCAGTCCGTGAACCGCTAGGCATTAAGTCTTAAGCCCCGCAACTTACATCCTAATCCCAGCCACCCAAAACCTTAAACAAACACACACACACACACAAGGCCCCTAGCAGCAAGCTGAAAAAAGGTCATTGGGTATCTTAAAACAACTCCAAGCCCTCGCCCTTGTACTCTCTCTTTCCCTAAGCGGCTCCTTCTATACTAACCTCCTTCTCTCAATCAGCCTTAGTGATCTTTGAACCGTTCCATGTTTGGGTGAACCTTAGGGGGTAGGGTTCAGGGTTTAGGTTTTAGGTGAACTAGCCCGAAACAACCTCAATTCAAGGGGGAACCTACATGCTGGTTTCCCTAAATAGGGGGACCCCAATATAAACCTCAAAACAATACAATCCTCATTATGGGGACCTCTGAAGAGGTACCCCTAATTTCCGGAAACCCCGCACATCAGCCTACTCAAGGGGGAACCCCCTAAACACTAGCCCCCAACCCCCAACCCTAAAACGGGGAAGCTTAAGGGGGAAACTGATGACAGTCGGATTTGCAGGATCTGGAGCCGAGGGTGGATGTGAGGTTGCCCGAAAGGGCCGTGCCCAGGCTTTGGCGCCTTGGGTTTAGGGTTTGGCGTTTGGGGTTTGGGGTTTATCAAAGACTTTAAGTTTGTACCCTTAGTGGTTGTAACCCTAGGTTTTGGGCCCCAAATACCCTTTATTAAGGGCCATATTCCATGGTTTAGGGACCCAAACCCAAGGGTACAAACCCCAAGGGTACAAAGGACAATTCCCAGAGTTTAGGTTTAGGGTTTGCCGATAGCGCTTACGCAGAGATAGTCATGCCACAGAGTCGCTTCGAGCCCTCGGTGCTGCGCGGCATGCTGCTGTGGCCTGACCGCGGCTGGCCATCTAACATACCCACCCCGTACCGTCCCAGGCGGCCAAACCAGCCAAACCTATTCCTGTTAGGGTTTAGGACCTCAACTCAGTTAGGTCCATCTTGGTCAACAACAAAAACAGCCAGCACCTTCTTACTTCCACAAGCCAAGAGCTTTGATACGCCCGTAGAACCTGGTGCTGCTGGTGGAGAGCAGGAGTTCTCCTGTCAACCTTTGGGGGCAGGCCTTCTGTCTAGAGTTTAGAGAAAAGCCAGACCCAAAACCTTTCACTTCTGAAGGAATCCAGGGAGCTCCGCCAGCCCTGGTCCTCAACCCCCCAACCCGCTCCCATTTCGCCCCCCCCCCCTCCCACCCCCATCCCCAAATGTGATGATCGACGGGGCTATGTTGAGGCAGGTCCAGGTAGGTTGACCTGGGCCATCGATGTCAAGTCTAAGCGCCGCCCAGTGGGCGGCCTGAGCCATAAGTTTAGCTGAGGGTTTGGAGTAGATGGGAAGTGGAACAGAACATGCAAGCCGCTCCACCATTCAGTTTATGGAAACTACCATCTACATCTGGGCATGGGCCATTGCGCGAAGGCTTTCGCACCTCTCGGAGGGTAAGCATCTTCTTGTATCTGAAGCCCTTAGCCTTGACCCTTACTTAACCCTTAAACCTTGACATCATTCTCCTCCCCAAGCCCTCTTGTCTCCCTTGACTGGGTCATGGCCGGGCAAGACGAGGGGTGTTTTATTTTACTAATTAGTAGATGCTGTCTGCTTCAAGAAGCTCTGCAACCCAAAGCAGAGGTAATTAACTCCTCCATCATCATCATTGCAACATTGAAACACCCCAACCAACTCGAAGCCCTAAAGCCCTAACCAACCCGAACGCTCTGAAACTGGGCAGGGCGAAGACACCGCCTTACACCGGCTATGGCTCATGGGATGCCTGGCTGCCATTAAGGAGCTTGAAGTTAGGGATGATGGAACAGAAAATGGAAACCCTAGGTCCCTTTAAAGGGATTATATAGGGATTATATAAGGTGATATAGGGGTTATATGGCGATAATGGAAAAGAAAATGGAAACTACTATGAGGCTATATACGGATAATGGAAGAAAATGGAAACTACTATAGTATATTGGGTTGAAGTTAAGCTTCTATAGTACGTAGGGTTTGGGGTTTGGGGTTTAGGGGTTAGGTTTCCATAGCATGTAGATCTAGGGTTTAGGGTTTAAGTTTCCATAGTATGTGGGGTTTGGGTTTAGGGTCTGGGAAGCCGTATCATGTACTCTGTATCCACATTATTGTAATAACTAACCCTCCACCCTAAATCCGAAAAACCCTAAACCCTTAACCTTATACACCCTAAACCCATAGCTTTCAACCCTAAACTTGGGCTGGGCCCCCACCCATTGATAGTGGTATGTTAGGAATATATAGAGGCCCTACTATAATTCACATTATGTCTAGTGGTCGCTAGTAGTGGGTGGGGGCTCAACCCAAACCTAAACCTAACTTACCCTACGCCCTAAACCTAAAACCCCTAAACCCTTAACCTTGTACACCTTAAAACCAATAGCTTTGAACCCTAAACCCTGAAGCCTAAAGCAACAGCAGCCCAGGATGACTCTATGGGCTCCGTGACGCATCTCATCCCCAAGCAGCCGAAGAAGGCTGAAACTTCGGTTTAAAAAGGGATTTTACTGGGAACCACAAACAGGGAACCCCAAGAGTATATTGGGAGTGTAATGGATTATAGGGACCCTGGTAAGTATGTTCCTATTATATTCCTACTTTGTTCTTGGGGTTCCCTGTCTGGGGTTCCCAGTAAAGTCCCTTTAGTTTAAAGGCTATGGAGTATCTATGGTTTGTGTGGGTTTATACAGGATTCTATAGGGTTGAAGTTTCAACGTGTATAGCGGAGAATCAAGTGGAAAAAATCAGATGAGACATGAAATGGAGGTTATTATATGGTTTAGAGGTTTTAGGATTTGGGGTGAATGGGAGCTTGGCTTCGATCCTATACCATAGCGTAACAATCCCAAATCCCGAATCAAGACTATTGAGGCCTCTAACATACAATCCCTTCAAACCATTGCATGATCCAAGGTTCCGTGTCTTTTCCATTTGACTTTACATTGTTGGTGCAATATTTCCAACTTTTGGAAACCTCTTTTGAGCATTGGCTTAGGGAGGGCATCTTCTGGTGACTGCCTGGATCTTGTCATGTACTGGTCTAGGGGTTAGGGTTTAGGGTTCTGGGTTTAGGGTCTAGTTAGGGGCCTGAGCAAACTTGCAAAGTGTAAGGGCTCAGCAGGGACAGCTTGTCATGCAAGATGCTGGCAGTTTGCACACAGCACCTAGCCTTAGATCAATGCGAAGCATTGTCCCAAGCCCTCCTATGATGACTGAAGAGCTTAGCTGACCGACAATATTTCGGTCTTTCTTGTCATGTTTCAATCGTTATAGGTTAGATACTGCCCCCACTCTGTATATAACAGTTGGATAGTGATTGTATAGGACATTTCTATATAGCATTGAATATTGCCCCTATATGGACTGTTACTAGGTGGGGTCAGTACCACCTACAAGACCCCTGGGAGGATCTGAACATTAGATCCCCTATATAGACCCTTCGTAACCCCTATAGATTCTTTATATAATTTTCCATATGGTACCCCTATATACTCCTTATAAAACTACCATATGGTTCTAGGGGATCTAATTTTTAGATCACTTTGGGGGCCTGGGTATGCTCTTTCTTGCGAGCTTTCAGAGATGGGATGTAGGGTTTACACATAGGGCCTCTGGTCAACTATACCTCTATGAAGGGCCTGTTGCTAAGGCTTACCCCAAACACGGTCACGTGCCAGTGGGGTTTTCTCAAAGTTGTACATGTCTTTTGGGGTGCTCCTTTTACTTTCATGGATGCCATAGCATATGTTTGCCCTTGACTTTGAGGAGTAAGTGCCAGTATGCCCTACAATCCTAAACCTTCAACCCTTAAACCCTAAACCCTAAAACCCTAAACCTGAACCCTTAAACCCCAACCCTAAACCCTAAACCCTAAACCCTTAAACTCTAAACCCTAAACCCTCAGCCCTGGCAGGACTTCGTGAAGCTCTTCAGGCACGAAGGGAAGGTTCTCCGCTTCAAGGCGAAATTTGCGAATCCAAAGCCTGAAGCTGCCTGGCTTTCTAGAATATACGGGGTTTTGGGGTTTAGGGTTTTAGGGTTTTAGGTTTTAGGGTTTAGGGTTTAGGGTTTCGGGAGGTAAATATACTACCCAATAATCGAGAATCAAATGGAAAAGAACATGGAAAGTGACATGGAAAAAGGGGGTATATAGGATAGTAAAAATATGGGGTATATACTGGGGTTATATGGGACCATGGAAAAGAAGATGGAAAGTACTATAATGGGGTTATATAGGGTTTAGGGTTTACATATATTGGGGTTATCCACAGAACGACAGCCGAGGGAAGAATTTGTTCTTTCGGACGTGGAATTTCAAGGCCCAGGGATTTAGGGCTTGGGGTCTTCAGGGTTGCTCATAGAGGCTACTCTTATGATATCTGCTACTGCAGATCACCTATCCTCTTCTTGCTGCTACAACTTAATCCGGCCATGCTAACTAGCAGTGGAGCCTGTGTGGTAGGTGAATAGGGTTGCCACAACGCTAATCATACTCACCCCAGTATAAAACCATCATATATGAGGGGATTCTTTTTTCTGTTGGTGGTGGGGGGTGGGGGGGGGGGGCTTATTAATTAAGGTTAGGTGATACCCTAAACCCTAAGCGCTAAGCCCCTAAGCTTTAAACCTTGGCTGAGGATGCAGACCGCATCTTCGTCATTAGCTACTACCTGCAGGACAAGATGATTTGCGGACAGCTTGCTGCTCCTCCCCACAGTCAGACATGGCGCCTATCATGTTTCCCAAAAGTAGTCTACATTTGGGTGCCCCTTTTTAGGGAAACTACCATGTAGGGAAAGGGACCATGATTTTGTCCTATGTCATCCCCCAACTAACCACCTTAAAGGAGTTTAGACTATAGGTCATATGAATCATCTGACTCATCGTGGGAGTTGGCAGGATGATACTGTGGCCATCCATGAGCCTCCTCAGAGGAATCTGGGCCTCTCGGCAGATATATAATATAGGGGGTTATACAGGGGACCACTATAGGGGTTAGGGAGGATACTAGGAGTTTAGACTATAGCTCATGTATGGGTACCGTGTGTAGAGTTTTTGGGGTTGGGGGTTGTGCGGTTTAGGGTATAGTGGGCTTGTCTTGCCGGTTGTTGGTAGGGAATGAAGGTAGGGAAAAGAAAGATAGCGACTATCGGATTGGATTATATAGGGGCTACTAGAGGCATTCATTCCTACTAGGAACCACTGAGTTAAATGGAGGTTTCCGGCAGTAGGGCTTCGTTCTTGGGGGCCCCCCATAGTAACAAGGTTGATAGAATTTCGCGCTACGTGAACAAGCGGGCACTACTTTTTGAATCCAGTCTCATGGGGACTGCGCAGGCTCCATGAAAATCACCTAGTTTTTTGGCATCTTAAGGTCAGCCATTTTCAGTCGTCATCACACGGTACAATTAACTCAAAAGGAGCAAGCAGGCAATCAACAAGTTATCTGGACCATTGTTCCGGATGTCCGAATCCTACCGTTCAAGCGACAGGATGCTTCTCCCACTGGTCTTCAGTACTTGAGGCCACCCTACTCCGGTGTGCGGACACTTTGGGCAGCACATGAACTTTGCATTGAGTAGACAGGGGAGGCCCACCTGGTCTTGTGACAGCTAATCTACACCCAAGATTGATAAACCCCCTCCTTTTACGGGCCTTAATGATTTGGTATTGGGATCCTCATTATTATCCCTACTAAGGAGAGGAGGATTACCAATCAGAGGTCTCGTTTACCCGCACATGAGATGTATTGTTGGCGTAGATACCATAGACTCCAATGTAGAGTAAGATTCTATCGTCTTTTTGGTGGCTAGGCTCATCGCAGTTTGTGAGACAAACATAATCCTAGTGGATTCAACGACCAAAGAGAAACCCTAAACCCTAAACCCAAATGTTTGTTGCGAAGTACAATTCAACCCCTCCCAAAGCTTCAGGCTACTCCTCACCCATCCGAGCATGTTATTGGATCTCCAGAATATGGGGGTTTCCCAAAATTAGGGGTACCCCAAATGGGGGTCCCCATGATAAGGATCATAGTATATTGAGGTCTATA